GGCAGCAAAAGCCACTCCTATAGGGCTGCCTAGGCCAGGCTGGCTCCTTTGACTCAGTGCTTTTTTTTTTTTCTTCATTTCATGCATCAGGTCACATCAGTCCAGTGTTTCTGAATTCCATCCACTGAGCAGAGCCCAATGGTTCAGGTCCATGTTGTGTTATCCTTCAGCCCAGGGGTTTCAGATACTCCAAATCCCTGGCAGGCTTCCTACTTGCAGGCCCCAAGCCCATTGGGGTTCAGATGCCCCGTGTCTCGCGTGCCCTTAACCAACAAGCCAAAGGGGTAAGCTAGGGAGAAATCCCCCATCCTAGGGAGAAATCCCCCATCTCCATAAAATAGGCATGTAGCCAAGATCCTCCCATTGGGAGGCTTATAGTATAGCAGACTGGTTGGGGGCTGTCCACAGTGTGCTGGACCGGTCCATGCCCCTCTCTGCCATTCTGGGTGTCTGACCTGCTTGAAAACCGCCTCATGGCACCTCCCCTGCCAGCTATGCCCTTTGGCTCAGTACAGCCCTGCCTGGAAGGGTTGGCAGTGCTTTCTGTAACCCCGAGGACACCTGAGAGGAAAGGGCTGCTTCAAGCGGAGGGTGCGAGCAGCGCAAGCCCTGTGTTGCAGGTCGGCCATGATCCCAGCGGGCCTGAGCTACCACTACGCTAGGGGTACATTAAGGGCTTGGTGAGCAATTGTTCACCAGGGCACCCAAGGAGAAAACCAGGAGTAATGGCTACAAACTCCTGAAAGATCAATTCAGGCTCAGCATTAGGAAAAACGTCACAATCAGGGTGTCCAGACTGTGGAATAAGCTCCCTCCAGAGATGGTGCAATTGTCTACCCTGGAAATCTTCAAGAGGAGGCTGGACAGTCACCTTGCTGGGGTCACCTGACCCCAGTTGCCTTGCCTGCCTGGTGCAGGGGGCTGGACCTGACGATCTTCTGAAGTCCCATCTACGAATCTGTAGTGGGCGGGGCTGTGCTGCTCACGCGGCCGCCCCGTGACTACAGCCCAGCCTGAGGCCCCGCCCCTGCCGCCCTGGGAGGCTGTGCAGCCGCCCCGCCGTGGGGAGGGGGTCTTGGCCCCTGAACCGCAGCGCTGGCCTCGCTCGCCACGGGACCAGAAGTGCCGCGCGCGCTGGCAGGTGCCGCCGCCGCTGCCTGGGTGCTTCCGGTACATCCGAGTCCCCGAGGTGCCCAGCGGGCCCCCAGCGCCAACTGCAGGGATGGGTCTAGTGGAGAGCTGCGGCCTTCCCCCTAAGGCGCTGGCCGGGCATTGTCCATTCCTGGGGCCAGGTCCCACAGCCCCGCGGCCCTGTCTGCTGCACCAGCTGCTCCTGTTGCTAGAGCACCCGGGACGTTCCCCCACCCCCTGCAGAGCCACGAGTGCAGCGGGGCCTAGGCCATCAGACACGGGGGCAGTGCGAGCAGCCCCGGGACCCCCTACTGCCCCCTCAGCCGGGGTTTCTGAGGAAGGGGCAACAGGCCTGGCCTTGCCTCCACCCGGATGTTACTTAAGGGTTCGCCCTTCCCTCCGGCTGCAGGGTCTTGCTGGGGGGAGCAAGGTGCCCAAGCACCCAGACCTCACCTGCGGGAAGGAACAGGCAGTGCTCCCCTTTGTATCAGCACCTCGCTTTCACCAGGCGTGGATGTGGGCACTGCCTGTCCCATGACAGTGACCGCATGTCCGGGTTTTCCCAGACACGTCCTCATTTTTGGCCCCCAGTCCTTGTGTCTGGCAGGTTTTTAAACTGCAATCAAGTACCTGGATTTCTGGCATGTGTGTGCTTGGACTGGGGGGCAGGGGGCTGTGGGGCAGGAGTGAGGGGAGGCAGGGAGGGGCAGGGGCTTAGGAGTGAGGAGCAGGGTCAGGGCACAGGCATATCACTGCCCCCCCACGATTATATGCCCTCCCCTCTTCCCCCCAGTTGTCCTCTTTTTTTGATACTGGAAATATGGTAGCCCTCTGTGGCCAGATGAGACTAAACCAAGCAGCAGGCAGCTATGGCCCTTACTCAGGGCAGTGGCTGGGCACCTCTGCGGCATGAGCTAGCAGTCTCAGTGACCTTTGTCCTCTCAGCAGCCTGCCCCACTGCCCTCAGTCAAGGGTCTGCAGGCTCTAGGAGCAACAGGCCAACTCAGCACAGCTTTCTGAAGGCAGCTGCCGCTCCCTTGCCAGTGCCAGAGTCCTGACCCAGCAGCCGCTCCCCTGCCGCCTAATTCCTGCCAGCGTCCCTGCCCCAGAATCACTGACACATTCTGGCGTCACAGGCAGATGACATCATTTGCCAGGCCACATCCAGCCCATGGGCTGCAGGGTGCCAGCTCCTGTCCTAAACATTCACAGACTATCCAGGAATGTGGCATGTAGGTGTTCGTCTCTGCAGAGAGACTGGTCGCAGCCTGGGGATGATGAGCCTCCTTCTCATTTCAGGACAAAGTGGCAGCATGTTAATAGGGCAGGATGGTAGGCGTTTGCCCTGCTGCTGCCCTCTGCAAAGGGGATTTCATTCAGTCATTGTCATCAGAACAGCTCCTTGCCTGAGACTGGGCATGTAACACAGCATGTGGAAAGGAATCCTTACCTAGGGAACATGCTGTTGCACCATTAAATTGTAGGTAAAGTTCAGTATAGAGACCGCAACAAGCTCATGGTTAGATCTGCCTTTTGGGTGTGTAGTTTTGTGTGAAGCTTAGGTAATTCCTAGTTAATTCCAACTGTTAACTGCTTTTGGTTTTCCTGCTAAACAGGTTTGGCTGTTTCTCCCAGAATATCATCAGGTTGCTGAGTAATTCAGTCCCTCACGCACAGGGTAGTAAACTGAGAGCTCATGTGGTTTTATAGAAGCCCATTGTCTCATGATACCCTCTGTTATACAGCAGATTTATAAGCTTAGTTGTTAACCTCTTTAGCAATGGGAGGATTCCACTTTGTTACAGAAACTTGGCAGAGTTCAGTAAGTTATAATGGCCTATCTACCTCCATTTATTTGCCTTGCACTTGTTTTCCAAGCTGGTGGCTGTGGAGGCTAGGGAATGTAACAGTACAGAAAGGAATTAAAATTGCAATTCAATGCAAATGCTGTTTGAGTTTCTTGTGTAAGCAGAGAGAAGTTGTAAAGTGTTAACATTTAGGATCCTTGTTGGCGAGCTGCATAAATTAATGGGAGGAGGTAAATCACTTTAGAAATGAAGTGAGCCTCAATATTTGAAAAGGTTTCAGACTGATTTCAGGGGCATATGCTGAATGAACTGTCCTGAAAAGTGATGGCTTCCCTGCACCCAGAGAATGTCCAGGATGCAACTACCAACAGGCCAAGCTTCCCCTGCTCTGCCCTGCTGTGTCTCAGCTCAGCCCTGCAGGGGACAGCTTCTGAGAGGGGAGATGAGTTTCCACAGACACAGGGAGAAGGCTCCCAGTAAGAGGCCAGTTGGTACTGCTGGTGATAGGTGCAGGTGATACATACCCAGATCTGCCAAGAACTGGTCTGAAACCCAGAAGTTTGTTTCACACCAGGCAGAGAACAGCAATGGGCTGAAAACCATTTTCAGTCACAGCACAACTGGGTTAAATTTGACCCTGGAGCTGAAAAGTGCTACAGCTTTTATCAATCCCTCAAGCTGATTACTGTCCAAAATGCTCCTTCCCCTATCAGTCTTTGGCTGTGAGAGGGAGGGTGAGGTCTGTGGCTTGTCTGGCTTTTATCCCTGCATTTGTTATTCTAGATTCTTCTTAGTCCATAGGCATTGATGAAGCCATGCTTAGGCTACGATTATTAACATGGGACGTGAAGGACACATTAATCCGGCTCCGGCACCCAGTGGGAGAGAACTACTCTGCTGAAGCCCGAGTTCATGGAATCCAGGTGGAGCCAGAGGCTCTTAATAAGTGTTTCCATCAGGCCTACAAAATCCAGAGCAAACACTTCCCTAACTATGGCTTGAACAGGGGGCTCAGCTCTAAGCAGTGGTGGGTGGACGTTGTGAAACAAACTTTCAGACTCTCTGGTGTCCACGAAGACACAGTCCTTGCACCTATTGCAGAAAAGCTCTATCAAGACTTCTGCATTGCATGCAACTGGGAAGTGTTACCAGGTGCCACAGAGACTCTGAGGCAGTGCAGCCAGCAAGGCATCCGCATGGCTGTCATTTCCAACTTTGACAAAAGGCTGGAGAAGATTCTGTCCCAGTGTGACCTCAAGCACCATTTTGAGTTTGTGTTGACCTCTGAGGATGCTGGCTTTGCCAAACCTGACCAAAGGATCTTTCTGAAAGCCCTCCGCATTTCAGGGGTAGCTCCCCAGCTGGCAGCTCATGTGGGGGATGATTACGTGAAGGATTACAGGGCAGCCAGAGAAGTGGGCATGCACAGCTTCCTACTCAAAAGAGCTGGGCAGGCCAACACGTGGGAGTCAGATGTACCAGAGGAGCATCTCTTGCCTTCACTACCCCACCTGCTATCTGTTATCAAAAAGGGTTAAGAGGGAGCCCCTGACTTCTCAGCAGAGCCCTCCAGTGGGAAAGCAGGTTGCAAACAGTCCTGGTAGGAAGAATTGGGACCAATTGTGCTGCTACATGGAGGTGGAAGGCTGTGTGGCTTTATTTTTCACCAGGTGAATCAATTACACTGTAGATACTGTTTGGTGTCATTTCCATGCTGCAAAGAGGCACTATCACCATATACAGCAAAACCCTAGGGACAGTCTTAAAATAAAATCCTTATTGTGCTCAGTGTTTCTCAGCCACTTCCTTCCATAGCTCTCCAAGGACTTTGCAGGAGTGGGTCAGCATCACTACCCTCATTTTCTAGATGGGGAAACTGAGGCACAAGGGGTGTGTGATATTTATGGTCACTCAGTAAATTAGTGGCCAAGCTCAGAGCAGAACTCAAGTCTTCCAGCATGCCAGTCTTGTGCCTTGCAAGTGCTCCTGCTCACAGGAGATAGCCCATGCCACTGGGAACAAGAGTCATGTTTTCCTGCAGACCAAGCCAGAAAAAGAAAACCCTCCTCTCCATCAGGCTCTTTCCCCCATTAGGGCAAAGGGATGGTACATCTACCTGTGCAGTGTGGCTTGCTGCCCTGCCAAGGGGCCTCACCCACAGAGGAGACAAGTGGTGCTTCCAGCAGGGGCAAGTATGGGTGGGGGCTGCATACTGGCTGTGCTTAATTCTATGCATCTTTGTCTGAGCTGACCATAGCCCTTGTTCAGCTGGCACTGCTTTCCTGGGCTGCACTGACTCAGGAGGCTGCCAGTGGCCGTAGCATCTGCACTTGAAGAAACTGGCCCTTTTCTTCCTTTTTGGGTCCTTGTGACAAGGTATTTAGCAGAATTAACAGATTTGTTGGAATCTGACAGGGCCGTGCCATGAACATTTCTGCTGTGGCCTCAAACTTAAAGTCTCTGGGCTGTCAACCATGCACCTTAGCATCCACACAATGCCAGCCCTGAAGAAGCTGGTGTCTCTTGGAAAGTTTGTACCTCAGGCATGACCCTAGCAATGCATCCCGTGTTATCTATCCCCACACCTCTCACCATAATGCTTACACTGTACCTGGGCAAACTGTTGGGAATGTTGGAAAAAAAGGAAGCAGCTTGGTGTTCGCTGCTCAGCTGGGAATGAAAGAGCCAGTGGCCATTTCTTTGCCCAAGTCTTGGCAGGTGCCTTTCAAAATGCTGCTCACGGTGGTTAAGGGTTGTTGGTTTGGCTTCTGTTTCACCCAAGAGAGCATACAAAGCACCAACAGACTCTCCGTGTGCCTGAAGAAGGGTGTTTGTAAAAGATTGCAAAGAACAATTTTTCCAATGATTTAGTCGGTCTAATAAAAGATATCACACCTACCCAAAAAGCCTCGTCTGCTCACAGTTGTTGCCACATGGCTGCTAGTGACTGCTTCAGCCACCCTGTGACAGGGCCACTGCCAGCTACAGTGAAGACTAATCCTGAGAACCTGCAATGTTCAGGGGATTAAAAAATAAAAGGGGAGTTGACCACAACTGACTGGGTCACATCTTTCCTCTAAAGCTACGTTGTAGCCAGACCATCCAATGAAGGGTTTCACACTGTGTTTATTGAGGGGCTTTCCTCCAGCTCTGATCTCTCCAGACCTGGGCAGCTCACATGCATTCACTAGCCTAGCCTTCCCACATTGCTCTGTGGGATGAAAGAGCAGCCATCATATCAGAGGGGTAACCTGACTCATCTCAGTCTGACCCACTTCCACAGCCAGTCTCACATGCAAGAAAGAGCACTCTTCCTGTGATGGCTGAGTTACTGGTGGAATTCATCTTCCAGCATAGGCACCTTCACTTGTTTCTTGCATAATTTTTCCCCAAGTAGGCAGGTGGCAGGGTCCCCAAGGTCACTGCACCAATGCTTTCTGTCAGGACAACAACTACACTTTGCAGACACAGAGCAGAGCACAGAAAGGGTCAGGCTGAAACAAAACAATTCAAGTGGGGGCCCAGAACATTAGAAAAGGGGCAAATATAGTCCCCAGCTTTAAGTGAAGATGACCCAGGGCATGACAAATAGGGTAGTCTAAGTTGGATGCCTGGAATAACACTGAAGCATCTCATCAATCAGTCTGTAAGTATCCAGAGAATAAGGAGGTGATAATTAACAGCCAACATGGATGTGTCAACAGCAACTCATACCTGGCCAACATGGTTACCTTCTCAGACAAGGTGGCAGGCCTCATGGATGGTGGAGGGGCTTGGCAAGTCCTGGATGCAAGACACCTCATATCTTTTAATACCATCTCCCATTACTTTCTAAGGAAAACCAGTCTAGATGGAACTACTGTAAGGTGGGTGCGCAACTGATTGGATCATCGTGCTTGTGGAGTAGCCATCAACCACAGCTGAAAAACAAATGAAGAGCAGGTATCTGGGGTGAAGGCAGGATTCGACCAAGTGCCAGCATACTTAGGCTACCCATCCCATCCTGGCTACTTGCCACCAATGAAGATACTTCTGGGGTCTGTGCTGTGCTTGCATATGTGGGGAAAGCTCCTTTCATTTCCCCCACGAAGCAGGAGCTTGAGCATCTATCTATCCTGCCAGGCCTGCTCACTGTACAAGAGAGATACTCTGGTCAGCCACAGCCAGGACAGGATAGATGGGCTCAGTGAAGGTTTCTCGGTGGGAGTGAAGGATGATGCAGGAGTTAGGGTCATAAAACAGAACCTCTCCCCCATCAAAGTCAACCAGGACCCCAATCTGCATGGGGCACTTGATCAGCTCCACAGTCTGATGTTGGCTGTCATGTGAGAACCTGAACTCCTTGTCGTAGCGGGAGAACACCCATGAGCAGCTGTTGTAGCCCAGCCGGGCTTCGTTTCCAGGCCCTTTGCGCTGCAAGGAGCCATAGGAAACCCCCAGCTTGTACGCACAGCTCTTCTCCACGCTGACCCTCCAGGCATGGATCCCTTTGTGGAAGGCCTTGGCAGCCAAGGCATTGGGCCAGTGATCGAAGCGGTCAGGGCAGTCTGGGTAGGTCTTTGCTTTGGGGCTGAATGTCAAGGTCTTCTTGTCTTCCGACAGGGCCAGGCGGGGGCTGATAGTTTTCTCATCCACACGAATTTCTTCTAAACCTGCCAGGGAAGCAAAACAATGAGCACTGGCTCAGCAGCTGAGACCCAGTAAGGCAATGGAACTTGGTTAGGCAAGGGGGATCAGAGCTCAGCAGCAGAACTAATTTGGTACGGTTATTCCTGTGGCCGTTCAGGCTGGGCTGAGGCTGGATGAGGCAGGGAAATTCCCTCAGCTGTTGCCCATACGGCACCTAGGCCTAGGGGGATGAAGCTTCCTGAACCCCAGGGCTGCCAGTCAGACCAGCACCTTTCACCTGCGCAGAATTCACAATCTAAACCATTAATTTGGCCTGAGTGTCTGAGAACCCAGGGCCAATAATGAGCTGGAGTAGACCAGGGAGTAGAGCCAGGCAGTGGGCTTAGCTGACAGGGAAACTACATCCCAGGGGTGATCTGATGGCCACCTATAAGTTTATCGGGGTGACCACCAGTATCTGGGGGAACATTTGTTCACCAGAGCGCCCCAAGGGATGACGACTAGGTTGAACGGTCATAAACTACTACAAGACCATTTCAGGCTGGACATAAGGAAGAATTTCTTTACTGTCCGAGCCCCCAAGGTCTGGAACAGCCTGCCATCGGAGGTGGTTCAAGCGCCTACATTGATTATCTTCAAGAGCAAACTGGATGCTTATCTTGCTGGGATCCTATGACCCCAGCTGACTTCCTGCCCTTTGGGCGGGGGGCTGGACTCGATGATCTTCCGAGGTCCCTTCCAGCCCTAATGTCTATGAAATCTATGAAATCTATGAAAATCTCTGTGGATGATTGGAAAAGGAATGCAGAATATCACTTTGTTTGATGGAGTCAACTTGCAGATGGAGCGAGACGCTCTGAGGCAGAGTGGATTGAGTTTTGTGATGACTAGTGTCAGAGGAGGAAAGAATCTGCTTCTCAGATTTGGAGCATTACTAGTGTATGGGTGTGCCTTACCTCTGGACAGAACTGTCACTTGCACATTAGACTCAGCAGCTATCAAAGAACTCATTGGTGCATACACCATGCTCTGTAAGGAGTGACAGTGCCAATTGAATGTCTATATTTTATCATTATAAAATTATTAGCAATAAATACAAAAAAAGTATAAAAACTATGTCACCACATTTACTGAGGAAGTGCTAGACTGGATGTTTGCTACAGCATTAAATATCAAAGAGGTATCAGGATGATCTCTGACAATATATTAATAAGCATGGAAAAGTCTGAGGCGTAATTTTCCACTGACCTGAAACTTTGTACACCATTTATTTATACGCATGCAAAGCAAGCACAAGGTATTTGTAAATATCTATTTTGCCATCATTTTACAAAAGTATAAATACCTATGCAGGAATACGGCAATGGAGGTTTAGGTCCAAAGTCTACAGTATAAGCTGAACAAGCAAGACTTCCAGTCTTTTGATACATCCTGAAAAGCAACCCAGTCCCATTTATCTACTCCATGGTATCACTAGAAAGTGTTTAGTATAAATAGTGAAGAGATGTTGTATCATATGTCTAGTCTGTTTTGTTCTCTTATTATTAGTCCCTTCACTAATTGAATTTATTTTAAATTGATCCTGTTTTAAGTAATTATGTTAAAAAAACAAAGAGGATTCTGGGATCTTGGATGTTTCCACTCAGGCTCTTTAGACCAGTGTTTCTCAACCTGTGGGTCATGACCCAAAAAGTGGGTCACAAGAATATATGAAAGGGTTGTGAACAAAACTTTAAAAAAATGGATCTACAAATTTAAAAAACAGATTCTCCTTTAAAGGAGAAAAACGTGGGAAACTGCGGCTTTCCCCTTGCAGGCTGGCAGAGCTCCAGCCTTCAGGGGCTGACTGGGGCTGGGGGGAGCAAGAGGAGGGCAATTAGGCAGGGGGTACCATGTGCATGTGCACGCACACATGCATGTGGCAGCCAAGCAGTGTGGAGAGCAGTTCCCACAGCTCCCCGCAGGTAAGTCTACAGGTTTGGAGACACTACCCACCACCCCCCCTCCTCTCTGGAGCAGAGCCATGGCTTGAGGGGAGTGGTGGTGGCAGCTCAGCCATGGTGGCAGGGTAGAGTCATAGCCTAGTGCACAAGCAGCTGGTGGCGAGAGAAGGTGAGGTCTGTGCACCCCCCGCCCTCCCCAATCTGTTACTTCCCGTGCTGCGGGCAGCATGGCTAGCATGGGGGCTCAGGCAGCAGTGGCAGCAATAAGTCATGCCACACTGCTTTACCCTCCTGCACCAAGTCCCATCTGCTGGGCCGTGTAGGTGGCTCCTGCCCGTGCCAGCATAGCCAGGCTGCAGCCCCGTGCCCACTGTGGGTACACAAGTCTGGGAGGGGCATGTGCCCCCTCATATGCCACATCCGCACCCCACACACTGCAGGGCTGGGGCCTGGGGGTGGCGGGCTATGGGTTAGGAGTGATGGGCACCAGCAGGGCCAAGGGGCTGTTTTCTACAAACTATTTACTGGGTTGGGACTGGCCATCAATGTTTACAAATGCGTTCTGGTCCAAAAAAGGTTGAGAACCACTGCTTTAGACTTCTCACCACACCTCACAATCCCTGCCTGGGGTTTATGGTACCATGCCCCACACTGCAGGATATTTCCTCCACAGTCTATCCCCAGATGGGCTGCACAGGGAGACTGTCCTCAGCAGAGCCAAAGCTTGGGTACAAAGCTGCTTGCATGGTTGCTCAACATCTCTGTTCTATTTACTTTTCAAATTCTCTGAGTAAGGAACAGAAAAGGCTGATGCTACTTGGGTCACCTCAGCCACTACCGGGGCGGGGTTTCTTTGCCCTGCTCTTTCCCCCCCCATTTACTTGCTTTGTGTCTTAAATCATCACTATAGAAACTAGGGAGAGAGCAAGTGAATCACCTCCTCTCTCAGTCACCACAAGGCTCAGCTCTGCTACACTTGGGAGAAAGAGCTTGTTTATCCTGGGCAGATTCTGACTGGTGCCCAGCACCCTAAACTGCTGTTTCAGCCCCTCGCAGGACTGGGCCCTCACAGAGAGAACAAACCAATATGCAGAACCCAAAGCATGACAGTCCCAAGCCTGCTGCCAGTGACTCCAAAGCGGGCAGCGGCAGACCCCAGGTGCCCGCAGTAATGTTGGGAACTCAGCGTTTGCTTCTGAATTAGCCTCTACCTGATCTTCCAGCAGCATGGCAGTAAGGCAGCCCCATGCAGTTAACTGTAGCAGCTTGAAGTGAGAGATCTATGGATTTTGCTTAAACCCTTGCTTCTGGCATTACTTGAATTAGGAGAATGGCAGCAGTTGTAGCAAGGCAGGATGGAAATGCCCCCTGCATTCAGCACAGATGGTACAATTACACATGAGGTGGTAGCTTTGGGTGAGGGGGGCTCTTGACTGTTCTCCAGTCCCTGTTCCCAAGGTATATGCAACTTCACCCAGATAAGAGACACACTGACAACATGCCAGAAGCCTACAAGCTGCACTTAGTTCTTATGAAGCAGAGGAGGATACAACCTCCCTTATCTGTAATGCAGAGGGGGAGCCCACAGAGATTACACACACCTCCCTTCTGGATCTAGGCAGAGCACTGCAGGCTGGGGTTTGTGCTTTAGGGCTTATCTGCATGGGAAAAGTTTGCCCATATAATATTTATACCAGACTAACACTCTGTATGAACACACCTTTCCTGAAAGATGAGCATCCAAGCAAGGAGTTATACTGTATGACCTACACTGTTAGAATTCCTCAGTATAGAAGCCTTTCATCCTAATGAATTCTTCTATAGAGGAGGCCAAACCAGATGCTCCTGGTTCAGAATCTGAGCTATGCTTTAAAGGTCCTCTTTATTTGATCTGCTCTGTGTCCCCAAGTGTTTATACCATGCCAACCCACCGATCACTATGGTTGCTGGGTCCTCGTACGTAGCTGAGGATAGTACTTCTTTTGGAGAGACCATCTGCTCTACAGATCATTTCAGTCTGGCTGTTCATTATTTGTGCATTACAGGTAGCGCATTATTTCTATTTAAAAAATCCCAGCCTGAATCTTCAAGCCAGCATATTTGAATTGAGACTCCTAAATTAATCTGGAATTAGGGTTGAAATCCTGGATTTAACAAAACCACCATCGCTCTGGATATTTGTAAAGCAATCTCCTATCCTGTGTTTCTAAGAGCACACAAGCATGTCAAGCCACTGTAACATGCAAGAGATGTGACACCACTTAAGATGTTTATCCCCTTTTTGAACTTCACACCCAAGCTATGTTTCTAGACAGTTTCACTTTTACTTCCTGCCCACTGACAGACCCCAAAGCTGTAATATCTGGGCTGCAAACACTGCTGGGGATGCATTATCCAAAGAGAATTTCTCTTAAGGCCACAAAACAATGGATGTTACACCCTTGCCAACCCAAAATCTTCAAAAGCCACAAATCTGCCCCCAAAATTGAACAAGTACCTTAACAAAATCCAATTATTTTTAAAACTCACATTTGAGTTCTTTTTCTTTACTTCATTTTACCACACTCATATGGAGCACCCTACAAACAAAAAGGCTAAAAGCTCTCTCTCAAAATGAAGCTCCCAACCAATTGCCTGCAGGAGCTAGGACTTCAAATGAAATAATTAATCACAAAATACAATAAAAAGTTAGGCAGGCATGGTTCCTTGGGTATATGTGGTATCTTTTATTAGACCAACTAAATAGTTGGGAAACACAGAACTGGACAGGGTCTCCTGGACTCTCAGATCCAGTCCCCCACATTGGCAGACAACAAACACACATAAAGCATAGCACCTGAAAAACCAAGAACATCCTACAATATGCCATGGGTGGAGAGGACGTTGAGAGAGCTGACAAGGTTGCTATTCAACATTAGCTAGTTTTTAAAACTAAGGCCATGGGGCTCAGCTCTGTGCTGGTGCTGTGGCAAGGGGCTTGCTTCGTTTCTGTATTTTAGACCCTCTCTTCATAGTATCCCCCCTGCTCAAACAAACAATGGTGGCATGTATTGTAACCAGGCAGTTAGGTCACCAGGACATTGTCTTTTAAAGAGAGAGACAGGAAATGACTGTAATACTGCTGCCTGGTGTCACTGTGTCTGCTGAACTGAGCAGGTGAGAGCTTGGTACATTTGAAAAGCCTTGTTAACAAAAACCTGTTTCATTCATTGTGCAGACCTCCAATGCCATGAGCAAATTAAATGAAGATAGAAGAAGTAGTGAACTATGACTTTCATACAGAATAATGCAAAAAAGAAAGTGTGCTACCTATAGACTTGGAAACCAGGAGCATTGCACAAAACTGGACTAGGAAGAATAAGTTAACACTGTTTATCTTTGCAGCTTCTGAGGCAGAAACAAGGTCAGTGGGCCAAAATACTTTTCACATGTATAATGGGCTAAAAGACAGGAGTGCCTGAAGAGTATTGGCCCCTAGTGACAAGTTCAGTGAAACAGAGGGAGAAAAGCTCAAACAGCCTGCTTAGACTTATTTGAGGTGTATTGATTTCCAAGAAACAACACAAGGAAAACATTCTGTGTGAAGAAACAAGGGCCTACTAAAATAATTGGTGGGTAACCCAGCAACAGCTGGTAATAAGAGATTTTCACATAGATTTCATTAAGGTCCTATCATTCTACCTAAAAAGAAGGAAAGAAATATTTCTAATGGCAGACAAAGTTAGCATCGGGAAGCCATTGGGGCAGGCAGAGTATGTGAAACAGCCAAAGAGCAGATTAAATTATTTGTCAACCCCAGTCCTAACATGTATGTGATAAACCAGAAGGTTCTGGCAAATAAGCAGATACACACTCACACACGCGCACACACACACAAACAGAGAAAAGGATGCAACAGCTGGGCACTTGCCGTTGTGGCATCAAGAGAGAAGCATGTAGCAAAGGCGCAGACTGAACAGACTGAGCAGACCGAGCAGTTTTGCAGTAAATGGGGATGGCATCATGCAGAGCAAAAGGAATGCCCAGGACTGGGGAAGATACTCACAAAGTGCCACAAAGCCAAACCACTCTGCAGGAGCAAACCACAGAGGCAAACAAAAGGACTTAGCTCATAGTGCAGGCTATCAGAGAACCTCCCCCCTACACCCCCCTACCAAAGGAGGGCACCTCCACAACCAGGATGCAGCTTATTTTTGGGCTGCAGTGCCGATTAGGGGGAAAGGATCATGATGAGACACTATCATTACGATAGTAAAGATAGTAATAAGGCCCCGAAGAAATGCCCATAAAACTCAAAATGGATGCCAGAGCACAAGTAAACTGCATCCAGGAGATAGACACCAGGAAGTTTAGCTGACACCACAACACTCTTTATCATACATACCTGAGAAGTTAGCAGGACATGGAGGGCATTCACTCCACATAATGAGGAAATTCCGTGTTAAGTACAGATCAGTGGTTTTCAACCTTTTTAGACTCAAGGCCCCCCTCATTAGACTCAAGACCCACCTCAGAACATGCCAGCTCTTAGCTTTCACTCATTTTTTGACAACAAAAGAAATAATAAAGTAGTTCTTCTGTTGCCAAGAACTCAAGGTCACAACAGGTCAGAATGGTTTTGATGCTATGGATTCCTTTTTGGAATCTCTGTTTATCTGGTGAATCACCTGTAGGTGCTTGCACACCTAACACTGCTACTATTGCGCAACACACTTCAGTAACCTTAAAAGGATCTCAAAGCACCAAGATTGAGAATCACTAGTTGCAGTAGAAAATACCAACATTGTTGTGGTCTGCACATGCACTGATCTAAACAAAGTGATAATGTTTAAGCCCTACAGCCAGTCCACTCTAAAGAATATCCCTGACATGCTATCTGCAGCAAGCATATTGAATGTTGCATCTGAATATTGTTAGATGAGAACGAACAAAGAAAGCATTGAGTTAGACACTTGAAACACTCTATTGGGATCAAAGTGCTGAGAACACCCTCTGGTATGATCACATTGAAAAATGAGACCTAATCCAAACAGCAAAGTGAAAGTGATAACGCAGTCAGCAGCACTGACGGCCTGCACAAGGACAAGCTCTCTTGGCCATTACAGACTTTCAGAATGGGAAAAGAAAACAAAAAAACCCAAACCATGAGTTATCAGTGGAGAAGGGAACAGTGCTGGAAGAAAATGCATCTGGGACGCAATTCTTGAGGGACACCTCAGTTTGGTACTATTCAAAAGATGGCCCAAAGAAATGGGTATCTTGCCAAACATGAGTACAAGGAACTACTGATGATGCATGATGCCTCTGGCAGAACCTGGGAGCTATTGACAACTCTGTTACAAAGCACAATATTATGCTTATATCCACAAGTACAAGCAGCAACATGTATACTTCACTCAAACTCAAAGAGTAGAAAGTCTAAATATATCCTGCTGCTGTTACTAAATGTGACCATTAGTAAACGCATCTTGAAACTACTCTGTTTATCTGGAAGATGCATTGTATTGCTGCATAGTTACCTGGTGTGCTGGCCTTTTACAAGAGGCACAGGATGTGACTGGAGATCATTGCTACTGGGTTGCTCTCCATGCATCCTGATCTGGGCAGCAATCAATAAGATGCTTTTGAGAGCCCTGTCCACTAAACCCCATTTAGTTCACCCTGTCCCCTGGGGCTCTCCACTGCTGTGAGCAGTCTGAACCAAGACAATAGCATTTCTGTCCTCTTCAGAGACCACTGCTGCTGTGGAAGTTGCGACTGTCTGGAGATGAATACCTGCTAAGGGACATTCCTGTCTCTGGGTTCCACTTGCAAATTTACACACCAAGAATCCCAGGCATGCTTTGAAGTTACATATTTATTCCTAACACCCATTTGCTTTTAAGTGTGTGAACCTGAGGCAGACGATAACAAACAGGCAGGATGTTTTCTTGAGCACAGAATTCATGGCTTTTGCCAAGAGATCCCAGAAGGACATGAGCCAGGCACTGACCTGTTGTACAGCAGAGAACAGTGGAAGCCCATAATCGGTGCAGTAGTGGACTCTGAACACACTTCTGATTAAAGTTTAACTTCTCTGACTCCTGCGGTTCCAAGATCCCCTCTGCTGCCTCCGTCCTGGCAAAGGAAACAAAGAGTTATTTTGAAGAGTTTTGCTTTATTGAGAGATGCTTACATAAGCCATCTGTCCTTAAGAAGTATGACAGAGATATTGAGCCAGACTCAGTCCCAAGAGCAGTGCTGACTGCAGAGGAATTACAGAGGGGACATGGCTGCCTCTTTACCTGGAAGCCCAAGTGTTATTTTCTGGTGACTTTGATTACAGGCATTTAAAAAAAGCTGTTGATATTTACAATAAAATCCCAAAAGGCTGAGAATCAAACAGCTTCACTGCTCAGTTGACACAGAATAAATAGCTCTGAGACAAGCCCACAAAACACAGGAGAATGCAGCCAACATGGTGAGATGGGCAAATCAGATTTCCTTGTGAGGCCTCCCACAGACAAAGCATCATTGTTACAAGGGAGGAATAGACAGTATAAGAACAGGCCAAGACTCTTGAAGTATTTAACATGGCATAGAAAGAGACCTGAAGGCCTGACAGGTTTGTGTGGTGAGCAGTGCACACATGAATTTTATCGGGTTTATAAGAAAAGACTGAGCCCTTGAAGTCTGCTACTAATAATCTGCTGTACAGTCTTTTTTATTCACTGAAACCAAGCATAAAGCAAAAAAAACCCAACAAGTATCTGGGGAGAGTAGTCCAACAGGCAGATCCCGCACTGAACACTACTATAATTAAAGTATTGCCATAGGGTGCAAAACCTGGGCAGGACCAGATTTCTAAAGGTATTTACCAGTAAGTGACTAAGTGTCACTGCAAAACCTTCCAAAATCCAGCCCTGGATTTCTATTTTAGCAAAGGGCAGCTCAAGGTTAGCCCCAGCCTATAAATGCATCTGGTTTTCCATTTTCAGGTGCTTCATGAATGACTTCTCTGTTTAATAAGCAGGCTGCTAGAATACAAAGCCCTGTGTGAGGGAGTTCATAGACAACTCTGAATAATGATTCCCTCCGTGAGTGTCCCAAATATACCCACAGAACAGGAGTACTGAAGGCTCTGTGGAATAGTCTCTACCTCCTGTCAACATGCCAGGTAATGATGTGATCCATCACTGACTCAACTCAAGGGAAGTTTTTCCACCAGATTTTGTAGGACCTAAATAGTAGATAAGCAAATAACCTACAGAGAGTGAGAGTCTGTGCCCTGCATTCAGGCCCAAGCATGCATGCGAGTGTGCTCATGCCAATGTACATATCAGTTTTAATCTGTGCAGACACATATTCATAGATTCATAGATGCTACGGTCAGAAGGGACCTCAACAGATCATCGAGTCGCATGTCCTAGCCACTGTGGTTTCTTGGTGCCATATAAAAAAGCAAAGGTTTTCATATCTAAGCTATAATACAGCGTACAAAGCAGAGCCTTAGTGTGACATTCTGGGCAAGGGACATTAATTTGCGTGACGACTTAGCTCCCTTGTGCAAGGTCCTGAACAAAAGCTGCAGTGGCATGGAAAAGGTCAGCATCACCTTCTGCCTGAGCAGTGGCATGCTGCTCAATGCTGCACGTGACCTGAAGCCTGGGCACAGGTGGCTCAGCTAATAGTGCAAGTAAGAACCAGCCTGGAAAAGGTCTGTGCATGGTTGATTACTAACCTCTCGAAGATCTCCTGCTCTGCGTGCTGGGGACAAAGAGAGAGACAGAGTCACCAAGGTTGTAATCTTCACAAAATAAAATCCCAACCCTGGACACTTGTCCATGTCTCACTGTTTAGAAGTTTCACCTATTCGCCTTCCATTGTGATGCCCAAGTGTCCCCAGACCCATCAAGGTATAGGATCCTTCCAGACAGATCGATCACATTTTTTAAAGTGCCACCCAGATACCACGTGAAGAATTGCTGCGGTACAAAACAAAATCCCCACAAATCACACACCATTAGCTATGACATACCATCCCTGCCTGGAACCTGTATGGAAAATCCTCAAACAATTGCAATCCATACTAAAATAAGATCCAGTTCTTAAAGAGATCTTCCCAGAACCATCCATCTTAGCCTTTAAACAAGCACCAAACCTTGCCAATCTCATCACCAGAAGCAAACGTCCTGTAGGACAAAACACACCAAATGGATCCAGACCGTGCCAAGACAAAAAATGTGAAACTTGCCAACACATCTCCACCCTCCCCACAATAACTACACCCCACAAAAGAACCACCACCATTCCTAGATCTTACACCTGAACCTCCAGAAATGTTATATATCTCATCTAGTTCACTAAATGCCCTGATGGAAAATATGTAGGAGAAACCAAACAACTGTGTACTAGACTGAACGCGCACTGAAAATCTATCAAAGACAAAAGCACCCAATTACCTGTGGGTGCACGCTTCTCACAAGACAACCACTCTCTCTCCAATCTCTCAGTTCTAATCTTCAAAGGGAATTTACAAAACACTTTTTGTAGACGAGCCTACGAATTTCATTCAATAAATCTACTGGATACAAAATTAACAGACTAAATATAGACATTGGATTTATGGAACATTATACCCTGCCTGCCATCTGATAACCCCAGGTAACCTCTCTACATTTACCAGCTACATTCCATCACCAGGTCAACATCCTCCTTTCCCCCGCTACCTGCACCTACCTGTCTCACACCTATTGTTTCCCATTCCCTCTGCCCCTCACTGCGATGTATTTATATTTTCACAGACCTGCATTTTGCATATTGGTTTCTATTCCATCCCCGAGTACACAAAACAACAGCAGACTCTCCCTATGCCCGAAGAAGGGTGTTTGTGCCCGAAACCTTGCAAAGAAGAAATTTTCCAACTATTTAGTTGGTCTAATAAAAGATATCACATTTACCCAAAGAAACTAGTCTGCTGAGGATCCTCATCGTCAGTCCATCTTTGCAGTCAGTCCACTTCAGGAATCCTCCCACCCCTATGCACCAGTATATCCCAGAATGCTTTGTGATGACACCACCAACACTCTTGCTGGTGATTTGGATTAGGTGGAGCATAGCCACCCTCCCAGGGAGGCAGCAGCTCCACACCCCTATCCTTTGCTGCTGGGAGGCAGGGAGCAGATCTAGCATCCATCTGCTCAGTCTCTAGTGTTGGGGTGGGCAAAATATGACCCACGGGCCAGATCCAGCCTGCCAAGGGATTCTGTACAGCCCATGGTGGGTCCCTCAGCTCCATCCAGTCCAGGTACAGGGGGCAGCCTGGACCCTGGCGTGCGCAAGTCCTGCTGTCCCCAGGTATGGAGGTGCTGCCTGGCATAGCCCGCCCCACCCCCATATGCAGCTCTTGGGCACACTGGGAGCCATAGTCTGCAGGGCTGGGCAGTGGGGCTCTGGGGTGGGGGCAGCACAGCAGCCAGATTCGGCTTCCTGGCAGACCCCGCCATCCCCACCACTGCCATCACCACTGCTGGACCTAGCTCCACTGCCTGGCCACCCTGGGACCATCCACCCTGCACCCACCCGTGGGGGTGCTGCACAGAGCAGGAAGGTGGGAAGGAAACTCCATGGAAACCAGCCTGGGACACCTGTGGGCAGGACATGTTCGGCCAGGCAGATGGGATGGGATGGGCCTGCAGGTGGGTGGAAGCAACATTTGGGAACAAGACAGGACAGATGGCTGGGGCCAGGGCTTGGATCGCAGGGTGGTGACAGCGTGGGGCTCTGCCTGCCCTAGCCAACTGCAGCACTGGGGGGGGGAGGGGGGAACTGCCACCCCATGGCGTACTGGTGACAAGATGCTGCTGCATACGAGCGGCAGTGACAGTAGTGGTAACACAGTGCTGCTTTTGTAACTATAGCAGGCTTGTCTGGCATGGGAAACTTCAGTTAGGGCACGAAGTCTCCAAAACTGAGACCCTCCCAAGAATGGCCCTAAACACTTCAGTGCTCAAGGAGCTTCTCCAGTCTCCAGGAGTCCAGACATCTACTTGGCACCACAGCATGAAACCCCACACCCAGCTTAATTGCCAGCCATGCTTTCTCCCCCATGGTCCAAAACAGGCCACACACACAGTAATAGCCAGGAAGCTATAGATAAAGGATATAAATTGCCCTGCTGCCTGACATCACAGTGTTCTTCACAACAGAAGGCTAACAGGAAATTAATTTTGGTAGGACAAAATTAGCCAAGCCATTTACAGAGGCTGCGACCTTCTGTCAAACATCCCAGTGCCCTCTACACAGCTAAAATTATATACAAATTTACTAGCAGAACTATTTTTTAACATACTGGCAACTACACAGCCCTCATTGCACTTAAACCCATAGGAAGCTGAATGCATTAGCACTACCATTACCACCCTTCATCAATTGTTTGACTCAGGATGTGCCAGAAATTGTAACTGCTATAAATCTGCCACCACACAGAGCATGTCCTAGATTCCCATCTCAACACTGCCATCACCCAAAGCTTCTCTCTCTCTCATATTATGCAAAATAAGAACCTAAGTCTTTGTACAGCATGTAATTAAGGTATGCATCTACACAAAATGCTTACTTCGAAGTTACCTAATTAGCTCCACCGTAAAACATCACCATCTACACGAGCAGTGCTATTAGGCTGCAGTAAACTCATTAACTCTGTCATAGGATAGTACTGCCCAACATAAGTACTATTCTATGGTGGAGTTCTTTACTCCACTGCACATGTAGACAGTGACTGAAGGTGGCTGGGGCACAAGGGTGCTACAGTGCATGGGTGCCTACCTGTTAGCCCTGCACTGTAGCACCCTCGTGCCTCAGCCAGCCCCTCTGTAGCAGGTTGAACTAGAGCAGAGCAGCTCCAGGCTGGCAAGCTGAGCCTCCAGGTCCCTTGCCAGCTGGGGTTATGCCACTCCAGCTCAACGTGCTGCTGTCCCAAGTACACGTGTAAATGCTGTGCCTGGGAGCAATAAACTCTGGGGCAAACCACACCGAAGGTTATTCAAACACACTAACTGCATGTGTAGAAGCACCCAAGGTGTGGAATTTACTATTGTTGGAGGTTACAGAGTCAAATCCCAGTGCTGGCTAATTCTGTGACCAATCATACTGGCAGCTACATGGGCTAAAGTCAGCAAGTCCAGATCTCATGCTACAGGATGCTTTTTGACTACTACAGAACTAGGATAGAAAATATACTGGCCACAAGTATCTGAAGGGAAAAGAATTATTAGAGTGGCTCAAGGTTTATGTAGCAAATAATAGAAGGGAACTGAGGAAAGGGGCACTCAAGCTACATGACAGAAGTGCCCTCACCTGATAGATGGCTGGACAATCTCTCAAGTGAAAAGGTAGACGTCCTGAAGTTTGTGCTGTTTAAATAGTAGACAGAGCACTGGAAAAGCCAAAATGTAATCCAACTGATCTAAAGGGCCTTATTGCGCAACTAACCCCAGATGCTGAGGCCTACCCTGGCTGGTCTAGAAGGAATCATCTGCTTGCTAGATTGAAGGGTACCTAAGGAGGACACAATGCAGCAGTTAGGATTGCTCCAAGCCAGCACTGGGTACCTGAGCTTGGGGCACTATTCAAATATTCTACCATCACCTCAAGGGAGAACCCAGACAGATCACATATTTAGGAATGTCCCTTGCCTGCTCCTAGCTCTTAGAGGGAAAGCCGTATTTCTCCAGGGATTCCAACCAGGATAACTGGAAGCCACCAGCTGAAGGAGCTTGGCAGAGTCAGGCATGCAAACCCCAGTCCATCTAACTCCAACTCCTCATCCTAAGTGCAACTCGCTGCTAAATTGTGACACTCAGCACTCACTGGCTACAGTAAGAGAAGCCAAGCAACAGCCTAGGCCTTTCTAACCAGTCCCTCAGTACAAGACTGTGGGATTCTTACCACAAGGCCATGGTCATCCAGGTTGGTGATCATGTCCACCAGGTAGGTCCGGAGTGTGGCCAGTTTCTGCAAGGACTCAGTCCAGTGTGCTCGCTGGGTCAGGATGCTCTGGTGAGTCCTCTCCTCTTCTGTGTGTACCTTCTCCAGCAGCCTCTGCTCTTCATTCTCGCACACATTTCTCACGAAGATCAGTCTCTGAATCACTGTTTCTCGGGCCCAACTCGCCGCACTCTGCACAGCAAGGGCAGGGGAGAGAGAGTTGTCAGGCAATCCTACCTCAGCCCAACTAAATGCTCAGCTGAGCTACTACTAGCGCCAACTCTCAGTGTACTCTGCTCCCATTAACAGAGTAAATACAGCTTAAGTCACAATGATTATATTGATACAAAACAGCAGGAGTGAGAATCAGAACCAGGTCTGTTTTCCAACCTCCCAGTCTTCCCAGCTATAGTGTTTCTATGCATTTCGTTACACCATGCTGGCAACATGTCTTAGCTGGGGTGGCCCACAGCATGCCCTGCCCCCACACCCACATGTTCCAAATCCGGAGTTATGAACGTGCCGGTCACCCCCACTGGCTGCGCTTGAGCAGGCCAGAGGCTTAGGCTTTGCGAATGGCCGCAGGGAGAGACCCTCGAGTGGCCTCACCACCATGTTTCCAGGTTTGGAAACCCAGAGGGCAGAGTGTAATTGGATTCATCCTAAGTGAAACACACCACCACCGTGCCAATGTGCCCTAAGGTACCTGCTGATATCACCACAGAGTCCATGTGGCAACTCGCCACTGAGCGGAGGCCCCAGACTTCAGTTTCATCCATAAAGCAAGTTTCATCCCACTTACTGTTTAGGGAGATGATCTCATGCTGATAAGCAGAGCTTGGCTCAGGAAAACAGCACTTACACACGCACACACAAAAAAACCATTTAGCCTGCAGTAGTAAGGACTGGGTCCCCAGACTTCAAACCTGCTGAGTCCCACAAAGCCTGTACTGCTCGGGATTTGGCCCAATTAAAATGTCTCTGCACTGATGTCCCATGCAGTCTTTGCAGCCCAAATATTGCAATAGGACATGAGCTGCTAGAAACAGAACTGGCCAGTCCTTTATTGCTACTTCCCCACATGAGGGAAGTAAAGACATTGCCAGCAGGAAGCTCAAAGCAGTTGGGTTCCTTGAACCATTCAATGGCATTATGCTAACCCAGGGAAAGATTTTTTTCCATAAATGGGGCTGAACTAATTATCAGTCAGGCTAACGTCCCATTACATGGCACTTGCAGTGCAAATAGGCCTTGAAATTAGTGTAAAATTACATTGAGGCTGCCAGAGCAGAGTAACATGTACATGGGAAATAGGCCCAGTGCTGTTATCTTGTCAGCTTAAGGGAGGGCAGTGAATGAGAGTGGCTTTGGGGAAGAGGCTGGCTGAACACCCACAAACTGAGCAGGGAGAGGAGCAGGTTCACGATCAGGGCCCAGCTCCAATGTCGATGGGACACTGGGGTGAAAGAGAGGGCATCTGTGCGACTCAATAGCACTGAAGACATGATGTTAAGGCCCATATAAGACAGCATCTCTCTTGGGAGAAGTAGGATGTTCAAGAACTGACCTCTCAGGAGTGCTCCAGTGCAGCCCAGCAATAGCGAGGGTTGGTATCAGCAGGCTGACCCATGGGCCATAGCTGGGGTTTATCGCTGTGGGGAGCCAGGCATTATATATGAGCTGCCTAAAGCAAAATGGTGACCTCAGAGTAAAGCCACCTCAGGGACCCTCTGCAGCCAGCAGCAATATTGCTGACTTTGGGACTTTAGCCAGTGAGATGCAAGGAGGCTGCACTAGCAAGCTCTAGTCCATGCTACCCAACAGGGGAAAAACAAGACAATTACCAGTGCGCTTTGGTTCTTCCCTGGCAGCACCTCTGCCACGTACTTGGTAATCGTGGCACTCTGCAGCTGCAGCTTCTCACACTGATCCACGATTTTGTTCTGAAACACAGAATCAGAAAGCTGAAGGACTGGCCTCTTTGGGAAAATCCTTTGCTCTTTGGGGCTGACAAGCTCTCAGCTGGTGATGGTGTCCCAGCCAGACAATACCCTTTCCCCAGAACATGTCCCCTGCACCCAGAAAGGTCCCTCCCCTGTGTGCTTCTGGCTTGCAGCTCCATTGCCCCCAGCCCAAATGCACACTATCTGAGAAAGGAGAAAATAAAGCCCAGGCCCTTTGCTGCTTCTAAGCAAATGTCAGCATTTTCCTGGAAAAGGTCACTGAACAGGCTGGAAATGGCTCTAAAAGCTGGTGTTTTAGTCCAATAACAACTGTCCTTGTAAAGGGCTATCCTGGGCCCCTGATTACCAGCACTATCATCTGCACAGGAGAACATGGGGAAGAAAGCAAAGGCAGCAAGATACCACTGCATGCAGAACAGCTGGGTTCCTCACTGCACTGCTCTGGCACTGTGATGGGGGGGACAAGCCTGATGGAAATGTCCCTGGGGTAGAATTTCCCCAGAACAGCCTCCTACACACAGTCAGAGACATATGCCAGAAGAGGGGGCGGGCAGGGACAGACCAGACCATACCAGTGCCAGCTCCCGTTGGCTGCAGAACGGCCCCTGGGGAGTTGCAGCAGCCAGACAGAAACTGGAGCAGCCCTGCAACTGCTCTAACTTAAGTCAGGACCAGGCAGCTTCTTGCTTGGGCTCTTAAAGTTGCCCTCGCCTCCTCTTGCAGCACAGCTCAGTCACAACAGAGCCCCTGGTGCCTGTAATAAGGCAATTCCTGGGCTCCTCAGGTCTACTTCAGTGGATCTCCGAGGTGTGGATCCACCTGCCTCCTGCCCTACTGGAAGTTTCTGGACGCCTGCTTGGCCTCAGTGACACTCCCAGGGCTGCCCGCAAACTCTTCCACGTCTACTGTGCACCGGCGGAGGTGCAAGACTGCCCCGGCACGTGGCAATGCCTCTCTCCGCTGTTGGTGGAGGAGGAGGCTTTTTTGTATTCGTGCATTTCAAGCGGAGCGCGCG